GTGCCCACATCCCCCCACATCTTAGTGTCATCAGCAAATTTGAACAGGGTACTTTTTACCCCCTCGTCCAAGTCACTGATGAAGATGTTGAACAGTGCGGGCCCGAGGACCGAGCCCTGAGGAACCCCACTGCCCACATCCCTCCAGGTTGAAAATGACCCATCCACCACCACTCTCTGGGTGTGGCGCTCCAGCCAGTTGGTGACCGAATTGACTGCGTGGGTGTTGACAACACAGTCCCCCAGTTTCTTAATGAGAACAGGGTGAGAGACAGTGTCGAAGGCCTTCCAAAAATCCAAGAAGACTATGTCCACTGCTACCCCTGCATCTAAGGATTTGGTGATCATTTGGATATCATATCAGTAAACTGTTAAAATGCTAAAACTAGATACACTTCCTTCACTCAGCATGGATGGTAGCTATTTTTTGCCCGTTTTAGAATTCTATTCTATTCTCCTTTTGTTGTGCACACACTGATAATAGATATTATGCTCCTATATTTAGAGACTAGTTTGAAAGAATAAAAGAAAATCATTTTTAAGATTATCGTCCTGTATATGGATTTACAGATTCATATCTGGGTTTTCTAAGTCAAAGTCTTAAGCTGTGTACATGAGGAAGAAACTCCTTACACCAGGAGAAGGTATTTATGGCTGCCTATCCATGTGCTTGGGGAGTGGGAAGGGGCATCTTAATTACAGCCGGTTTCAGACAGCCACTCTAATTAAAATGACTCTCCATCATGTGTCTTAAGCCCTGGAGCTTTTCAAAATGGCCGTGGGATGATTTATCTAAAGCTCATTCAATGAGATTTAGATAAAGCACCCCTGCAGCCAGTTTAAAATGTGCGGGGCTTAATACACTTGACAGTGAGGCAACACTGGAGCATTCTAATTAGAACGTGAATGTGCACATCTATAAGCAGCCTATAAGCAGCCTGTGGCAAGGACTGGGTTGAGATGTAGAAATGTGCAGATACTAAGTATTCTCCCTAAAGGATGTGGCACTTCAATGGAAGGGGATATCTCAAGCAGTCTTTTTGTAGTTTGCCATGTACAAGTTCCCTTCCTATTATGACACTCCCACTAGAGTGCATCAGAGAAACCAGCACTGATTATTTGAGTGGATCATCCACCTTTGATGCAATAACTGCTACTGGGAAAGGAAGTTTAAAGCTACAGCTGTCTGTGCCATCGGGGTGAATCATTCACTGATTCTTAGTGATTGTGTTTTTTGTGTGCTGCACTGACAGATATTGCTCTTTTTCCCACAGCACATATTTGTTTTAAAAAGGTACTGAAGAATTTCCCAATGTTTGGCTATTTTAAAAATGTGGCATAAGCCTGGCCAAGCCAGTAAAAGCTGGCTACTCTGCCATTAGCTCATTTGGGATGGCTGGAGAATCTGGTGCCATTTTCAAGGAAATCATCCTGGGAACAGTTCTGAGATAACTCACTTTTACCAATCTATGGTCTGATATGTTTTCTGCAATACACAACTTGTCTACACTAGAAAACACAGAACCTGTGTTACAGTGACTGCCAGTATCACTATTTATCTGTGTATATATATCAAATAGGGTTTAGGGATTCTTTAACACCATATGAAAATGCATGGGCTCTGTTTATACTAGTGATACCGAAGTGTATGTGTAGTGTTATTAGCTGTTGCTGTAAAGCTGTAATGCAGGCTTTAAGATTCTAGTATTACCACATGCAGAGGATAAAGAATTGTAATCTGTTATTTTGAAATGGCAGCCAGGACAAACCCATAAGTTCAGAGGGCGCCTCTACTTCCCTTATATAAAGGAACAAACTAAGTGGGTAAAGTTATACCAATGTTCATATCATATCTGAAGATATAAAAATCTGAATACCATGAAGGAAAAGGTGAAACAAGATCCTCCTATTCTTTATGTGTTCGTCTGCTAGAAAAAAATTATACTTAGCTTTCTAAACGTCTACATGCTATCACCGTTCTCTGAAATATATGTTTATGGAATATCCTTTGATAGAATCTTTTTTAGATAAAACAGTAAGACATATCATATTAAAAAGTGTATTTTTTAGAATATAATTTTTAGAAATTGGCAACTTCACATTGCTTTTTATTTGCAGAATCAGTTCATTAACAGGCCCCCTCTACACGTGCAGGTAAAGCAGAGATTGTATCGAATGTATGATCCACACAATCACACCTTCTGCCATGCCACACGTGCATGGCAGGAGGTGCAATTGTGAGATGTGAATTAGATCCAATAGTGCCTTATTGCTGGTGTGGGAGAAGCCTAATCCTGGGCTCCCCCAGCACAGGCAGGAAGCAGGCTCCCACAGATGGGAGATCCCTTTGCTGAGAGGGATCCCAGCCACAGGGGTAACATGCAGCCTGGACTGAGAGTTCCCGCACCTGACAAGGCTCTGGGTCCAGTTTGCACATGAGGGGCAGCCAGGACCAACAGCCCTATTTCATGCACCCCTGTGCCTTGAAGAAAATGGAAGCTATGATCCCCAGTGTCTAGGAGCCTGTCGGTGTATGACAATGTATGATAGCCAGAAGATGGGGCAGAGTACAGGCGAGGAAGCAAAGCAGAGCAGCAGATTTGGTAGAGAGTATAAGGCAGGATGCAGAAAGCAGAACAACAGATCAGGCAGGGTACAGGGACTGGAGTGCCATTCAGGGAGTGTGTGGGACTAATTTGTGGAATGCCTGCCAAGACAGTTGGCCTCTACTAGCATATAACATTGGTTATTATTATTTGACAGCACCTCAAAGTATGTTCACAAAATATATTTATTGCCTGGAAGAGCTTCCATTCTAAATGTTATATACAATACAGTGAATAAATTGACAAGAAGCAGGGAAATGTCAGGTAAAGAAGAAAGAAGGATATAGCTTTTCAGAGAGAAATGAGGACAAGGTTGAGGCTTCAAAGTGCATACACCCTGCAATTTGGTACACAGATTTAAAATAATTTACTGTAAAAAAAAAAAAAATGCTCATCAAAATTAACGTGCCAGGGACTGGTTACACAAACTTCAACCCACAAAGCTTTTCAATAACTAATGTTGCTCAGCTGTGAAGCCTACCTCTGTAATGGCACATTTGGTAAACGTGAACGGGTCCTGCCCTGATCGTCGCCACGGTGAGGAGATACAGATCGTGAACGATGATGTGTTGTCCTTTGCTGTTCTGGCACAGTTAGTGTTGTTGATTTACTTTCTCTAGTACTAGACCTATAACCTACTGGTAAAAGTGCAACAAGAAGAAGTTAGAGGGTACGATTCCATATCTGCAAACAACTGAGATAGTCTTTTCAAGGAAAGCACTTCTAAGGGATTCCAAGATTTAAGTCAAGCTAATTATTTAGGTACTATCAATCCTGATATGTCATGCAGCCAGGATTAATTAAAAGCATTACCTTTAAATGTAATGTGTACATATGCATAGAGGCAAATAAATTGAAAGGAGTTTGGGGACATGCTAGGAGTTGCCTGGGGAAAATAAGGTTGAATAAGGCGCTTGCCATAGAGAATAGTTTCAGAAATCTAAAACATTTCAGAAGTCATTCCAATTCAGTTTTTTACACTCTAAATCTCACCTCTACTTGGTGATAGTTCTATGAAGCCTAGGCAGAGAGGCACAAGCAATTTCTGTGCCCTGGGCATCAGACATCGTTCTTCTACCTGCTCATTGGGTTACTGCCCCACTTGCCCACTCCTAGTTAAACTATTGAGTTTAAGCCACTTAGGTTCAATTTCTTCTAAGCTACCTGCCTACCATGAGTGGAAGAAGGTGCCTACCAAAAATGACCTGAGCCAGCACCCCTTAGTTAGAAAGCTGCCTTCCCAAGCCGTCTTCAGCTGAGTACAAAGATGTGCTCTTAATGAATTTAGCCAGAGCTGCCTTTGTGCAAAGATCACAGAAGATTTGACAACAATATGCAGAGTAGCTTGACGGTGTATAGAGTATAATAATTTTCCTTTCAATATTATGAGGGAACAAGTATTTTGACAAGGAAATTTTAAAATTATTTAGGATTCAAAATAATCAGCAGAGCATTTGTCCACTTATATACTTTTCTTACATTTATAAATGAAATCTTCAAGTAACAGTTTCGTGTGTGTTTAGAATTGTCTGTTCAGAGAGAGATTCAGGATATATTTTTTTTAATTCTTCCTCACTATTTATATCATGGCAGTATCAACATGACCCCAACAAAGGACTGAGGACATGCTGTCCTGTGCAATATACAAAGCAAAAGAGCATAAGAGTCTCAGCCCAAATAGGCTGGAGTCTCATGTGACAACTAAAGATATGGCAGCCACCTTGAGGAATTCCAGGTGTAGTTTAAGATCATTGGAAAATAGTTACCTAACACAAGGAAACATCTAAATTTCCACTTTAGCTAAACAGTAGAAAGAGAAAGAGTTCGTTTTTAACTCTTTTATCTTAAAGTGTTATTTGTCATTTTAAAACTCATGACAAGTACACAATTCTGTTAAGGACATGGCATCAGCTTGTTAATATACTAAAATATTTTTAGTTTCACATTTACTTTTCAAGAATTTTGAAAATCAATAAGTTCATAGAATCATAGAATCAGTGAGTGGGAAGGGACCTAGACAGATCATCTAGTCCGACCCCCTGCCATGGGCAGGAAGGAGCACTGGGAGTGGGAGAGGTCATAAGACCCCAGCCAGGTGCCTATCCAGTCTCCTCTTGAAGATTTCCAGGGAAGGTGAGAGCACCACCTCTCTGGGAAGCCTATTACAGGCTCTGGCCACCCTTACAGTGAAGTAGTTCTTCCTAATATCTAACCTAAACCTATCCTCCCTCAGCTTGTGGCCATTGTTCCTGGTGACTCCAAGGTGGGCCCTGGTGAACAGACTTTCCCCGCGTCCCTGCTGGTGGCCCCTGATAAAATTGTAGGCAGCCACAAGATCCCCCCTCAGTCTCCTCCTGTGGAGACTAAAGAGATTTAGGTCCCTCGGCCTCTCCTCAAAGGGCTGGCCACGGAGGCCCTCAACCATACTAGTGGCCCTCTTCTGGACCCTCTCCAGGTTCTCCACATCCTTCTTGACACTTTATAATGAATTTTTATACATTATTTTTCTTATTTTTTCTATGTTTTTGGGACACTTTTTCTATCATAACAAGCAGCATGATAAATGTAAATCTCACCAGAACTTTACATAACACTTTTCATTCCATATATTTAACATTGCTAGGCAGCTATACTCCAAATACAATCAAAAGCCAAGTACCCTGCCTTCCCCATGTTTCCTGTTCTTTTTTATTTTATCTTCTAGCCTAGGATATTCCTTCCATCAACCTTTGATACAGTGCTGGAATATTTAAGCACAAAATCAAAGACCATCCATTTAATTGCTTCATAGATTCATTGATTTTAAATTCAAGATGGACCACAGATTATCTGGCCTAACTTGAGGTTATACATCAGGTCACCGAGTTTCACACAATAATTCTTGGATCAAGCTCATACACTCTGATTTAGTGATGGTATATCTTTTGGAAAAACATCTAGATTTTGATTTAAAACCAAATTAGAGAGTCATAAAAAGGGGCTAGAAAGGACTTATTTAGTCTAACGCCTGATCATAATAGGAACGTGTCTGTTTAAACCATCCCAGAAGAATGTATGTCTAACTCTGCCCTTAAAAATGTCCAGTGATAGAGATTCCACCGTCTCTTTAGGTAATTTGTTCCAGCAATTAGGCACTCTGACAGTTGGAACATTCTTTGGAGTATCTAACCTAAATCATCCTTGTTACAATTTAAGCCTATTAATTCTTCTCCTGTCCCTTATGGACACATAGAACACTTGATCACCATCCACATTATAACAACCTCTGTTTGAATTTAAAAACCATCATTAAATCCCTTCTTAGTCTTCTGTTCTCTAGACTAAACAATTCTAGTTCTTCAACTTTTCCTCACAGGTCACATTTTCTGGAGCTTTAATAATTTGTGTTGGTTTCCTTTCGACTCTTCAAGTATTCCATGCCTTTTTGAAGTACGATGCTCAAAATTGGGAACAGTATTACAGTACTGAGGCCTCATCAGCACTGAATAATGTAGGAGAATCAATTCCTGTGATCAATGGCGTACAAAAGTGCTCTTAGCTTGTTTTGCAGCAGTTACATTGTTGACTCATTCAACCTGTGGTCCACTAATCCCCTAAATCCTTTTCTGCAGTATTACAGCCTACCAGTTGTTCCTCATTATATATCAGTGCATTTTATTGCACCCTCCTAAGCACCTGTCCTTATTAGATTTCATCTTATTTCAGAACATTTCTCTAATTTATCAAGGTTATTTTAAACTCTAATGCTGTCATCCAAAATGTGTGCTACTCCATTCAGCTAGGTATTCCCCTATGCAAATCTAATAAGCAAACACTCAATTCATCCTGCAAAATAATTTAGGAAGATATTAAACAGTTCAGGACCTGGGGCAGACACCTGGGGAACTCCCCTTGATACCTCTTCCCAGTTAAGACATTGAGCCACTAATGACTACCTATCTCTAAATAGACCCATCTAGGCCATATTTCCTTAGTTTATATATGACATTTTCACAGGAGACAGTGTTAAAAAGTATTATTAAAGTTGAAGTACTTCATATCTACTGCTTTTCCCTCTCCCATAAACTCTACCTTGTCATCACAGAAATAAAATCAGGTGGGTTAGGCATGCCTTGCCCTTGACACATCTGTGAGGACTGTTCTTTGTTACCTTCTTATCTTCTACTTACATAGAAGATTCTTTAATAATATGCTCTGGTATGATTCAAGTTAGATTGGCTTATCTTTAATTCTCTACGTCCTCTTTGTCTTTTTCCAGTCATCTGGGATCTTACAAACTTACACAAATTCTAACAAATAACAGCCAATGGTTCTGTAATTATTTTATCTAATTCCTTATGTGTTCTCAGATGATTATCATTCAACCCCATTTTTTGACAATGTACCAATTGCCTAGGTCAGTGGGAGCCAAATTTTTGGTTGGCATGCCGCAGACTAACCCAACCCTCACCCTGAGTGCTAATCACTTTCCACTGCCTGATATGCTGCTCTGCTTTCTGGTTCCTACCTTGTACTCCCCCACCCCACTAAGCCCCCCTGATCTGCTGGTCAACTTTCTCATCCAGTTTTGCCCTATCTGACACTGTACTGGCTGTCCCCTCACCAATCTGCCATGTGCCACAAACAGAGGCTGCCCATGCCACCAATGGCACCCATGCTACAGTTTGTTCATCCCTGGCCCAGGCAATTACTAACTGGTTCTTTCACTATTCTAAGCTTGCTGCTAAACTCTGCCTGCCATTTAATATTTAACATTTTTCTGAAGACTGCATTTAAAAAAAAAATGATTAAACAGTTGGCTTTCTTTATTCATCATTCTCCATATTCAGTAAGGGACTGACAGTCTCCTTTGTTTTCTTCTTTCTTTAAACCTATTTATAGAATGCTTTGTTTGCTGCCCTTGCAATCTGTATCTTAAATTGTACTTTTGTCTTCCTGCTTTGTTCCTACATGCTTGTATTATATACTTAGGGCTTAGGCAGACATTATTTTTGGCACACTAGGGGTACTGTGGAATTTTGTTGTGCTACAAGAACTCAGTACAACATGTATGGCTGCACATGCACAGCCTCATGGCTGGAGCATGACAAAGTTGCTACAAAAGCACTTTGTACTTTTATCTTCCCTACCCCAAGGAGCCTTTTACTGAAGGAGATAAGCTCACTGACAGGCAACAGATGATGAGGCTGTATGCCTAGTTAAATATGCTAAATTAAAGAGCCAACTACTTCCAGAAACTTTATACCATTCAGGTAGTTCCAAACCATGATTAAGTCATCTAATTCACTTTCTTTTGGATAAGTTTAACAGACTGAACTTGGTAAGTCTCATGGCAAAGGAGGGTGTCCAGACATGTATTCATTCTTGTAGTTCATTTATGAGCACATTCCGAACTGTCATCAACCTTTTAAAAAGAAGTGAACAACTTTCTTCATAAAAATCACACTGTTGAGAAGCTGAATAACCCAAACACATTTTTAACATGTACAAAAGCAACAATACCCTTAAACCAATTATTTTCTCAATTCCATAGAATCCTGTAATTGTTACTTTACTAAGAAACAAATAGCAATGTTAGAATGCCTATTCTAATAGGTATAGACAGAGTTTCTTAATGACTACATCAATGGCTTGGTTGGTAATTTAACCACAACAGATAGCAAAGGAAGGGAGAAGAGAAAGTATGGAAGGAAAAATAAATTCATTTGCACAGATATTACAAACTAGATTTCACCATGCTTGTTCATGGTGAAGAGTATCTTAACCACCAAAAAGTCCTGTTGAAGTCAATGGTAACACTAGAAAAACAGGGTACTACACAAATTATGAGTAGACGTGGCATTGTCTGGTCTCAGATATGACATAATTAAGAAAAGATACCGGGCTGGCAATTAGAGATGCAAGTCTGAATGAATTAAGCCAAGCTTTAGAAGAACGGTAAAATCCTGGCTTTACCGATATTAATGGAATACCATTCAATTCAGTGGTGACAGAAATTTACAGATAGATGTGCAAGTCATTCACATAAATGTAGCCTGTGTGACTAGATGACAAGGTCCAGTGAAAGAGCATAGTAAGTGAATAGTTCAGGGACTAGACAGAGAAAGGAGGCATTTCCAACAAACAGAATTACAAGATTGAAGAGACAGGAAGAGAATAATTAGGAACCTAAATTTTCACAAGTAAGCTTCCTCTGAAACCTAAACTGCTCTTGTGCATGCCTCAAGCTAACACTATCTTAGGGTAAAGGAACATTTTGCATTTATCTCATATCTAAACATACCTGGGATTTATTAAATAGGTACCCTTTTGCTCTCAGGGCCCATTTCAGTAAGCATGCTCAAAACATGATTAATAAACTCTAACAAAGCCCAATAGCTATGGCCAATTTCATTCAAAAACAGGAAAGGGATACCACCTACCTTTCTCTCTGTCAGCTGCTAGCTAGAACATTTCTTCCAGGAAAAGGAAGATCTCAGTTCTATGCCCTCCTCAGCCTGAGTTGGTTCAAACTCTCTCTCTCATCTCAACCAGGTTGGAGAGAGGCTGAAGCTGGGCAAGTGTACAGTCACAAATGCAAGATTAATGAGGCTAGGAACAGAGAGCATTAGAGGCAGCCTAGCCCAATAATGAGGGCACTGCCTTGGGAGTAGGGAGATGGGTTTCAGACTGTCGTTCAATAAGTATAGTACACATATTTCCATTGAAGAGTCATTGGATGAAATTTGTAAACAGAATTGGCAGCAGGGACCAGAGCTTGCATCTGAAATCCGTGAGTCAAAATCAATCATTAAAATACCTTTATGAATCCGGGGCTTAGCTTTTTGGTTAGTTTAGTCAATGACAACATTTTCTAGTTTCAGCAGCATGGTTTAACCTCACCTCAACATAGATCCAGCATGCAACTTATTACATTTTTTCCCATCGCTCCTCCTCCCCCCGCCCCCCGCCTTTTATATTTCTAAAATGTTCCCTTTTATAAGAGTTCAGATCATGGGAACACAGACATTCACTTCTTCCAATGGTGTCCTGAGCTTCTAGAGAAAGTTTAGAATCACATTTCTTCTGACCATACCCTTCCTGCACGCCATTCTAGAACGAGTTAGCTCAAGTATAAACTCAGCTTTCATGGCAGAAGCCTTAACAACAGAAAGAAAGTATTTGAGGCCCATGCTATACATAGCACATATATTTTTCAAGATACTAAGGAATATTCAGCAGTACCTAAGTCCTAATGACTTCTTTTAGTAAACTAAGATAACTAAGTGTGAAAACTAAGTGCTATATATCCAAGTGAAAATGGCTGTATAACATTTGAGCAGCTGCTTTATAGGACTGTAAATGGACCACTGCAGATAAAGGATGATTGCCCAGGAGAAACTGGTGAGTAAAAAGCCCTATATTATTAAGATGGCATTAGGTTGCCTTAGAGATAAGTATCTATAGCTCCAGCCACAAAATATATAAGCAAAAAAAGCAGAAAGAAACTGTTGGAACTATTATTATTAATTTGTATAAAATATATGCGTTTCAACTGATAAAAATATGAAAATTAATCACTCCAATAAACATAATGCCACTGCTATGTATTTTGCAAGAAATTCTCCTCTCACATATTGTCATAGCCCTATGAAAACAATTGAGATTCCACTCATATAACTGAAAGAAAAGATTGATCCAACATCAGTAATACTGCATATGAATAATTAATGTATGTGAATTATGTTAATAATCAAGTAGTAAGGTATAGTGCTTTTCAAATACTAGCCTATTTTAATGTGTTTAATAACTTTCAAGACAAAGTTCCATAAAACCCTAATTTAGCTAAGGCAGATGAAGAGCTACTCTTCACTAATTTTTTTGTGAACAAGAAATTCACTCTCATGATGTGTGGCAACAATAACATGAAATATAAAAAAGTATGGTATCCAAAATATTCTTCAAAATGGTTTACAATGTTGAATTCACAAAGGGTGCTGTCCTAATGTATAAATCCTAATGTTCTCTCCCTATATTTATACATTTATGCACATTTAGGAATATAATTCATGACGATTTATGAAACGAATAAAAGATAGAGCCATGCAACATGCATTTTAATCTATAGTCATGCAGTTTCAAAATATTCCATGGAGGATTGCATAAGATCTGTGTTTTAAGCAAGAAGCAAAATAAAAAAAATGCAATGGAAATTGAAATACTAATTAGTATTTCGTATGGATTTATTGCAATTAAGTTTGTAATTTCACTTATGCTCAGACCAATGGGTAGTAACTTTGAACCATCCTAGATAATATCCCTAGTCATATGAACACAGAGATATTGATGTATAAATACAGGAATATTTTTAATTCACTGTAATTTAAGATGAATTTAAGATTACAACACCATGGAATAATCAATCATACTGGTTTCTCCACAATTCAGTCTCTAAAACCAGCAACCTGCTATAGCCTGGGATATTAGAGTGAAAAAACCCCCAAACATACAAATAATTAAAAGCAAAAGCAAAAATAAAAGCGGGACCATGCTCTTCACGCACGCACCTGGAGGAACAACTCCAATACCATCATCAACATCATAATCTGAGATGTCACTATCACTGATTCGCTGAGATCCTGCACAACAGTAAGGCAAATAAATATCCTGTATATCTAGATGTATTGTAAAATGTAAAAATATATTTAAATAAAAAATTCACTTACTGCTAAGTGTCAAAAGATTAGTTTCAATTTAAATACTATGAGGTGAGAATCAAACTGTTGTGACTTAGAATGAGGGCATAGTTTGATCTAATGCATCAACTACTATAGTATACAGCTCCTGTAACTGTTCCCTGAAAGTGCCTCTATATAGTTACACACTATCTGGAATTTATTACTCCTCCTCATCTCAATATACTGGTGAAAGATCATAAAAAGTAGCTTGGAAAATGTATTTCCAATTTGTTCCCTATTTCTTTCATGTTCTCAAAATAAAATTTATTTTCAGTTTAAGCATGAGTTACAGCCTGCAGATATTTTTATACAGTTGCCACTTCAACCATATCACACAAACCTTGGAAAATGATGATTCTGAGAAATCCCCCTTTTTTAAATAATTGTTTTCATCTTTAAAGTCACCAAAAGTTATAGGTGTTCAGAAAAGAACTAAGTTTTGGCATACTTTTCCTTTAATATGACTTTCACCTTCAAAAATACACACTTTTTTCAGACGAACTATATGCTAAAGGCTGCTTACAGGCGTTTAGAGTACTTCTTAAATTATTCCTATATTTAAATGGAAGAGGAGAGCAATGGAATTTAGACCTACTTTGTAGTTTTTTGCTAGAGCTTTCTCCACCATGGACATGTCTCCTGGGCATGAAAGGTGATGGCTGAGGCAGAGGTAGTGAGGATTCATCATGTGTCTGTAGTTTATACCAATGTGGTTCATCATCTAAAAGTGCTGTCTCCAGCTCTATAAGGATCTAGGGGGAAATTTATCAAGCTTAGTCTTAGCTTTAAACTGTGTTGAAACTACAGTATATAGAATTATTTTAATAAAAATAGAGATGTTAGCCTTTTGTTAGATACTTAAAATATGACTACTGTAATTGAAATGTTATTGTATATATCACCTCTCCAAGGAATTCACTCTCTTCTTCTTGTACTCTTGGTTGATCCCATACAGTTATTTCTAGCATTCGTTCTCTAAAATCTCTACGATGTACATGTGAATACAGAAAAGTTTGGTTCCATTTTGGTTCTAGGCTTTTCTTTACTGTTTTGGTCCTCCTTTTACTTTTATCACTGAAACATAAATATTTCTTGTAAATTATAAAGCAGAAACAAATCACATACTAACATCTAGTTACCACTGCTAACACTGTTTTTGCCCTTTCTTAAGTGACACTGAACTCATATGTTTAAAAGAGATAGGCTTACTGCACATCAGAGACCAGGGTCAGACATATGTCCATGGGGCTAATTTTCCATAGCTTGACACTGATTATAGATGGATGTGGTTTTATATGTTTTAGAAAAAGCTGTAAATAACTACTACTACAGTTTTATATCCTTTATGGCTTATCTAAATTTTAATAAATTAAATGAATTAATATAAGTGAAATATTCTGATGTATGACTATGGCATATAAATGTTCACTTGATACAGCATATATTTTTACTTGTTATATTACCTTCTATCTGGAAGAAAATACATTTTTACATAGGGATTCCTGGGACGGCCATCTACTCTAGGTGGCAGATCTGTTGCTTGTAGAACATTTACTATTAACTGATGCCCCACTTTGTCATACCACAGTTTCACCTAAAAAACCCAAGTTACCAGAAATTATTCATGAAAATGAAGGAATGTAAAATTATCTATACTTTATACTATTAGCCAAAACACAAATGTAATTCAGCTTTTTGGGAGAAAGTTCAACTGTTTTATGCAGCTTTCCAGAAGAATTTTTGTGTGCATGGGCAAAATTTCAGTGTGGTTTATAATAGCAGAAATAATACAATCTCAGATACATAAACTAAACAAATTGATCTCATGCAGTTTGGAAAAATCCATGACACTATTTAATAAAATATTCATATTTCTCCATTGCATTTTTAGGCATTTTTGGCATTTTAAGTTACTAACTCATTAAACCATGTCTTGTTCAATGGCATGAGGATGGAGGTAGGAGAGGCATAGATACCAATCAGTAATATTTTTGCCATCTCAAATCTGTTTTGCTGAAGTGATACAATGCTGTGGCTTGCTTTGGAGTGAGTCTAGGTTCCTAGTACTATGAAATACTCCTGAGAAGGCTCATTCTGCAGGCTAACCCTTGAAGCAGTTTTGGAATGCATTTAACCTGACTAGTTTAACACATGGTTATGCAAACACTATGAAATGTGATGAATTCATTTTTTAAAGGAATCATACTATTTGGTTGTTTCTGAATCTGTTTTCTGCCTACAACCCAGTATGCTAACAGAGTAACTCCAATCCTTTAGAGAGACTGGAATCATGTAAAAATCAAACTCTAGTCATTACATCTCTGTTAGGCACAACTTCAGTTAGCATGATAGGGAATTGCATGAGTTAATGTTGACCTATACTGAAATGCATTACTGAACAAAAGAGACATGCCAGCAATACAACTCTTCAAATGTCCCACACTTTTTGCATTAAACAAAAAGAATGGAAGCAAGCTAAGGTTTTGCTTTCAACGTATTACCTATATAGTATAATATATCCAGCTATATCTCATTATTACCACCAATAAAATATACTGTAGCAGATAAATATTCTCTCTGGATACTAATATACACTTACAGAAAGTTGCCCTGGTAGGACCTGTGGAGCATCTTTCAGAGCTCCAGGACTAGTTGGAGAAATAACAGAAATAGAAGGCCTTTCCATCTTCTGAGATTCAAAAGAACTTGAACCTAAAAGCATGAGAGAAATATGTCAATTTTAGATCTGAGATTTGGTAGCCAATTTTCTTAGATAGTAAAGTTACTTACCTTAGTAACTGGAGATCTTTGTGATGTACTGCCCATAAGCACATTCCACTGTGGGCACGCATGTGACTCTAGCACTCAATCTCAGAGAAATTTTTGCCCTTTTGCATGCACTCTGACTCTGGGCATAAATGGCAGTTCCCTCTCTTCAATTTCCTCTCAGCTGCAGAATCCCAGAATGCAAGGGACAATTCAAGGACTTCTAAGGAAGAGAAGGCAGGATATGGAATGTGCGTTTGGACAAAACATCTTGAAGAACTCCAGTTACTGAGGTAAGTAACTTCTCTTTTTCCTTTGAGTGCTTGTCCATAGGCACATTCTGTTCTCAGTAACACCAAAAAAAAAGATGTCTGATTGCTATGAAGGCAGGTCACAGTCTTAAGTGAACAACAGTGGGAAGACTGCTTTGCCAAATGCAGCATCTGTTCTGAAAGTCTACATGAAAGCTTGGCTGAAAGTGTTCATGGACCTTCAAGTGACTGTTTTGCAGATGTCCAAAATGGAGCCATGCAGGAGACCACTGATGCAGCATGGGTTCTGATGGAATGCACGTTAATCATCTTAGTGTTTGCAAGGCATATCTTGATAGTCCTGTACAGATATAAGGGCAGAGTCCTTCCCTGCAGAGTATATCAAGCTCTCAGGAAAAAAAAGGTTTGGAAAGACAAATACATGGATCTGGTAACTAAGCTGAAAATCAGCGACTAGCTTAGGAAACTACTTGGAGTGAGTCACTGGAAGAACTTGTCCAGATAAAACAGTTTAGGGAGAGAAGTTATTCAAACCATGAAGAATGGTGACAGATAGAGAAGAAAGCAGGGGCTTGTTAGGCCTCTGGGTACTAGATTCAGATTCCCCTGAGAACCTGGGTTTCACAAGAGGGAATACTGTAGTCAGAGCCTACAGGACTTTGGCATCCATGCGCAGGGATCAGGTTTACACTGGCTGGTGAAAAGCTGAGATAGAAAGTAAGGGTAGTGCTGATGAACAAGTGCTCTAACTTGCAATCTATGCAATAGTCCAAATTAGTCAAAATAGAGGAAAAGTGGTACCTCATACAAAATCAAAGAGAGAAACTAGACCACTTAGCAAAGCCAGTTTGTCTAGTGCAATCTTTCTATGAATGAGTGCATATAAACAAGCCTACCTCATTGCCCAGAGCCATCCAGCATTTGGTCTATTGATATGGAGGGTATGCAGATCTATGTGGAGAAGAAGTTGGATCCCTGGAAGATAAGTTCTAGGGCTCGTCACTGGTGTGATCTGCCATGGCCAGGTTAGAGCTAGCAGGATCAGATGAGTGGAATCCCTCCTCACCTTGTGCAGTACTTAAGAATTACATGCATAAGTGGGAAGATATATAAAAGTTTCCTTGATCAAAGGAGAAGAAAGGCATTGGACAATAATGCTAGGCTGAAGCAAAAGGGGAAAGGATCTGACCTTTTTGATAAAATCTGAAACAAAGAGATTGATGTCTGCAAAAACATCCTACAAAAACAGACTTGTTGATTCCACCTGTGGCTCACATGTGCACACTGAGACTGCCCACTCAATATTCTAAAGGTAAAGGAAGTGCACTACTGAGAGGTTTGCACCAGTTTCAAAGATGACTTTGCTCTTTGGATGGTGGGAGAATATCTTGTACCCTCTTGTCTATTGAGACAGAAATCTTTAGTGATATTATTGGTCATAATCTGGATATGACATCCTAAAATGGGATGCAAGCTTTGTATTACCACACTGATCTGAAACTTTGCCTTCTTGGCAAACCCAAAACCTTGCACTTGGAAATTGTTTGTGTGTACTCTTTACCCTCACAGAAATCTGTTCATCATGTCTTTCAATGATGATGGGAGACTTACTACAGGTGTTTACTAGGTTGTTTCAGCATGCAGAATGGACCTGATCAGAAGAAAAATGGTTACCTCCATGTTTGGGGAATGTCTCCCAGGAAAAGAAAAAAACTAAAACAATACCTTCCTGTATCTGAGATGTAGTCTGTAACATGTGATGTAACATGGGTACAGAAAACCACATGTCCCAGAATAAACAGACAAGTGCTAGTAGCTCTTGACAAATTTGCCTCTAGTGTGAGTCTGGAGCTTGTCCTGTTGCTGGTAAACCTTGTCTGACAGTGAATTCAGACTAGCCTCTACCAATTCTAGTCTCCGAACTGCGTTCAGATTTTGGTTTATCTGGAGATTCAAGGCATGGAACAATCACGTGATAGCAAATAAATATCCCATTACCCATGAGAAGAACTAACTGCCTTTCACCATCCAGCCATCTGGGTAAGGATATTATTAGATGCTTTTCCCTTTGAGATAAGCTGCTATCATGCAAGGGAGAAACCAAGTGGTAGGAGTTTGTACAGGCAGTGATCCTGGCCTACCACAAATCACAGGTATTTTCTGTGAAAAGGCATGATATTGACAGAAGAGTAGGCATCTTGAAGATCAAGAGATGTGAAGCAGTTTGATAGTTTCAGAGAGGGGATAATGGTGACTAGTATTACCATCTTGAACTTGAGTTTGTGACTGAAGCTTGAATTCACTTAAGATGAAGATGAGTTAGCTCTTCCTTCTTCATTCAGGAAATAATAACTGTAAATCCTCTTTCCCTTATTGAGGTACCTCAAATAAGGCTCCTAGAGCTAGGATGAAAATCTTCTGTCAAAGCACAATCTCATGAGAAAAGTCCCTAAAAAGCACAGGATTAGGAGATTAGAGACATGCACCACACTGATTTGGCTGGAATACCTAGCCAGGATAGCCCACATGACCACTAGTCTCTGGTGATATTTGTTGATGCTTGCCAGAAGTAGGCCAAGCAGTTTCCAAAAGATAAGAGAAAGGATGAGAGAATCTCTGGTAGTGAGTGGCACTGTCCCAGTGTGGAGTTATGATCTTCAGAATTGCAGTCACAGAAATCATTGAGAAGTAGAGCAGGAAGGACCTCCTGAGATCATCTAGTCCAATCCCCTGCCTGAAGAGGGATCATGCATATCCAAACCATTCTATACAATCCATAGCAGGGGTCCTACAAGGAAAGTTGAAGTAGCAGCAGCTGGAACCACAACTGAGGAAAGAAGGACACCAGGAGAAAAATTTCTAACAATGGATGGAATGTAGACCACAGAATTGCACAATGTCTTGGGCAACAGGCCTCTGCCAGAGTTCTAGATGCTGAAGCAGAAGTCATTAATGAAGTGCATGTGTTGTGGTAGCTCAGTACCAGAGGGAAAACTACCAAATACCTAAGGTGCTTCTCCTTGTCTCTTTGCAGAATGAAAGGAGTAGGAACTCTGGATCTGGGTGCCAGGAGTAGAATACTTCTGAATTTCATCAGAAGCCATATAGGGATGAGAAGTCTTGGAAATGGACAAGAAAGGTGATGATAAAGAGCATCTCTTCAAGAAATCCTGTGATGGGACCTTCCCCTCAAACTCTCTCTCAGATTGGGCTTACCAAAGGAGCACTTCTCTGCTGCTGGTGCTGTTGGGGATTACATGCAGTCAGGTGAATTTTGAGATTTGGTATCCAAGGCTGACCCAACAGATTTACTGAAAAAGTAAACCAGGGCAAGCTTTGTGGTCCATCCTAGACCAGAAAGTAAAGGATTTGTGAGTCCTCAAGTACTTGGCACACTCAAGTAAATGCAACTGCTCCTGTTCAAAGGGCCCTGTTCAGTAGGAATGCAACTGTTGCAGCTCATGTCCCTGTTGTAGGACAGACAGAATTTGAAAACAGGTGATATAGAAGAATCCATACTATAACAAGAAGCAAAGGCCTAAGAGAAGGAAAAATGGAGTCTCACTTGACTTGAGGCTACATGGCACAGACCAAGACACCTTCTGCCGTGCAAAGAAAAAGAAGGAAGGCAGAGAAATGAGTAAAAAAAAAAGACAGCAATGTCAACTGAGGAAAACTGAAGACTAAAGAGTAGAGAAAATTAATAAGGTTTGAAATGAGACTGTAGGCCAAAAACGATATCTTAATTAGACAACAGAAGCTCTGCCTTAAGCAGAAAGCGATTGACAGGAACTTAAGAATGGAAAATGTGTACCACCAATTGTGTGCACTGCATGGGTAATATTAAAGACAAAGAAAATCTGAGTTTGAGTCCATGAGATGCATGCACATATGGACAGTACAGAGGAATGCACATATGGACAGCAGATCATGAACTCTAAATTGCTTTAGTTTTTTAATGGTTCCCAGGTGGTTTATGCTTTAGTGTTTCACTGATTGAAATTAAGAGCATGATTTTAAACTAATTTAATAGTACCAGAGAAAAAGACAGTAAGGGCACTCCTATTTCAGTTAAAACCAGGCATATTTCATTTTAGCTTAAGTCATTTATGAAAATGGTTAAACTAAATCAAAGTAAGCATCTGAAACAGAAACAGGATTATTACATATGTTTGCCCTGGTTTAAGCCAGTTTTTAAAAAGCGAATGCACGCTTGCATGCAGGTAATATCTCAGTCATATTTAAGTTTTGGCATCTCTTTTAAGATAAAATATCAGATGTTCTTCCCTTCCAGGTGAAGCCACTCTCTCCATCTATGGTTAATTAATAGCTTTAATTCTCACAAATAGCATGAGACATTGGCACAGAAGTAGGATTCAGTAGCCTTCTAGACTTCTGGTTCTTTGCTCAAAATCAACAGGTACAGGGTGTTCAAAATCACCATTCACATCAGACTCACCACAGCCCCTAAGACAACCACCTCATATATTGTTATTGCTTGGGCATCTCAAGGGACTACCAGTTTTTCTCACTCCGCATACCTCCATGCAAAAAGATCAGATTACCAGCTGGTGCAAATCACCAGAGTTGCACTGAAGTCAGCTGAGAATGCAGGCCAGAACTTTAATGGGAGATTGCTTCTAATCAGACTGATTTAATTGTTTTTGCCTCCTTCACCACTGACTTCTTCACTGGCTCTCCTAATTTCAATCCCCCTGCTTTGCTTGCTTCATTTGTTTTTCAGGCTAAACCTCCTTCCTTCCATGCTGGCCTCTTTCTCCATCCCAGTCCTCCTCACCAATATACCCCTCTCTTCCTCCTTTCACAACTCCTTTTTCTGTTCAGATGCTTCAAAAACCACAACTAGCTACAGTGAAAGTTAAAATAATTTACAAATCAACAGCATGAAGATCTATATAAAAAAAACCTAAGCAAATGCACAAGATTATCAAATTTAACCTCTTGGCTGTATATTAAACTCATTAAGTTTAATAAAAAACATCATTTTTAGGTGCCCCAAATTTTCATATGAAAATTATTTCTGAAGTACATTCCTCATTTGGGGGGCCATGTAGTTATATTGATAATTTCCATAATGGGAGAAATGCTGAACTTCCTCTACTTAGGGAATGGGCAAGCCTCAGGTGAGACTCAAAGGAATGTGGATGGTGAGATATGATATGTGTACACTGTGCTCTGCTCACTCACTCCTGCTTTGTTCACAACACATACTGAAAAAAGCCATATACTTGTGGGGGGAGATGTATTTTATCCAGGTTTTACCCCAAGCTGCTCAGACAGAAGTTAGGTAACAGTTTTTCAGCATTTAGTGCATAGAGATAAAAACCAAGTAAGCTGTGTGTGTTTTCATGCCAGTGCTTGCTAGCATAGTCTGACATGGTGTACACCTTTCCTAAGGAGAGGGATAACAAAGCAAAGAAGTTCTTAGCAAGTTTGCTGCTATTTGATCTACAGGTGTAAACGTTCTCCTTCTCCTTGTTATAGCAATTGCAATGGAGTGCAGTTGTGAATAAACAACTATAATGCACTAAACAGATATACTAAATCAGACATTACCATCCAGGGTAATGGGCCAGCACCCTCAAGTACCCTGAGTTCCTTTATGGGGTGCCATGGCATGATATTAGCACTATCAGGTGTGCAAACACATACCCGATTCACAAGATAAACCCAGAGACTTCAAATATGAAACTATAGAGTCAAAGACACTATGACCTGTGGTGGTCTTTCTGAATTATTTGCTATAGAAGCACTATTACTTTTCCATAATCAACAAAAATCAGTGGTAGTGAACACCCAGCATTTTCCAAGGAGTGCTTTGAGACTAACAAGCATGCCTTGCAACTGCAAAGTTTGAAAACCACTGTACTGAAGGAATTATTTGCCACACAGTCTTTCCTAGACTGATATCTTCACAAAACCAAACTTATTAGGACTCTACAGAAGAGTATGGCAACCTTTAGTCCAGTGTAAGTAGACATATAGTTAGTAGGTTTCTCATGCAGTACTGACATACCAGGAACAAGCATATTAAACAGAACATTGCCTACACACATTTTTTCCACCTAATATCCAACCCTAGAATGTAACTAGAAATTTTGGAGGATAAGGGTACACTTTTTGGCTAACATAATACTTCTTGTTCACATGTCTTTTTCATTGCCAAGTAATAGAATCACTGTGAGATATATCAGTAAGACAAAGCATCGAAAGTAAAAGATATTCCAGGTGTGTAATTTACTACACTTCTGTAGTTTATCCAACTGAGATTGCTATTACTCACACAAATGGTACAACAAAAAGCACTTTTTTCACAACTTTTTTTTCTTAAGGACACTGTAGGTGAGAGCTCTACTAACAAAAGATCCAAAGATGACAGAACTGCTCAATGACTACTTTGCCTCAGTCTTCACAATTAAAACAAACTCTGACCCCTAACCCCGACAGCAAATGAAATCCATGCAAATCATGATAAATGATGAGCACAGCAGAAAGTTCTTAACAGTCTTGAGTGTAGGACCTGACCAAATTCATGCCAGGGTGCTAAAGGAACTGACTGAAGAAATCTTAGAGCCATTTGCTACAATAGTTGCCAAATTATGGATGTCAAGCAAGGTTTCAGAGACCATGGCTAAAATAGCAACCATCTTTAAAAAGAAGAAAAAGAGTCCAGGGAACTTGACTTCAAAACCTGGGAAATTACTGAAGCAAATCTTAAAACAGTCAGTTTGTAAATGGCTGAAGAAGGTGATCACTAATAGTCAATTATTAGGTCATTAGGAACAAATCATTCAAAATCAACCTGATTTTCTTGTTTGCCAGGATAACTTTGGAGGAAGGGAACACAACAGATGTAATACATGGAGACTTCTGTAAGGCTTTTGATTTAGTTTCACCAGACAAACTGAAGAATCATTGAGATAGATAGAACTCTTGTCCCAATTACTTCTATAATTGGCTGAATAACTGTAAGCAAAGTGTAAGTATAAATGGATCAATGTCAGAATGGAAGGATGTTTCAGGGGCAGGGCAGTATTCACAGGGTCTGTTCTAGGTCTAGTGCTGTTTAACATTTTCATTAATGACCTGGATACCAGAATAGAGAGCTTCTTGTTCAGATTTGTAGGTGATACTGGGAAGACTTGCAAACACTTTGAAGGATAATACAGGAACTCAAAAGGATGTTGCTGAATTACAGAATTGGGCACTAGACAGCAAAATAAAACCCAACAAAGACAAATATAGAGTGCTAGATGCAGGAAAAAACCATAAATGCATAAATACAGAATGAGAGGGAACTGACTAGGGCATAAGGTTGCTGAGAAGGATCAGTGTAGAGCTGGGGTGAGGAGCATTGGTGGATCACAGACTTAATAGGTGCAAGCAATGTGCTACAATCACCAAAACATAAAAATTTATTTTGTGTTTCACTTCCAGGCATGTTGCCTGTAAAAAATAGGAAATTATGTGCAAGTACCACTCAGCATTGGTTTAGGAACCAGTTGACTCTAGCTGAGTTTAGGCTTTGCAATTTAAGCAAGAGGTGCAGAAACAGGGCAGGAGCCAGAGGTGAACAAACAAGATGAAATAATAGCTGGAATTCAAGCAATATGAGGATATGAGGAAAGGATGGGAAAACGAGGTGCGTTTATTTTGAAGAAAAGGGTGGACATGACAGAAGTTCTGAAATACTTGAAAGGTTGCCATTCTGAAAAAGCAGAAAAATTGGTCTCCCTTGATGACGGAGACAGAACATGAGGTAATGGCTTTAAATTTCATCCAAGTAGATAGACTTAAGTTAAATCTCAGAGGGGAAAAAAACCAAATCACTTCGTAACTGTCAGAGGAGCAGGAAGACAGAACAAGGTGCCTGTGGAAACTATGTACATTCCTTCATTGGAGGTTTCAAAAAGAGATGGGCTAGGCACCTGTTTGAATACTATAGAAATAGCATATTGTGTTTGTGCAGAAGGTTGAGCTAGATGTCCTTTGAGGTCTCTTACAATCCTACGACATCTAATTTCAGGGTAAGATTAGATTCCTGGTTTAGGAAACTGAACATGGGATGGACAATAAAGAATAAGAACTCACAACACCTTCTGAAGCCTTTGCAACTCTCTATTTGAACTTTTCTACCGTATTTTCCTTAAATGTAAATGGAAGATAATTCTTCAGCCTTTTCTCAGAGGGCTGATATGGAAACACCAGACAATCATGGAAAACACCAGCCTTTTTTT